ACAACCAAAATGTCTTCTCACATTGCCAAATGTCCTTTGGGGAACTGAATTGCTCCTGCAGTTGAGAACCACTGGTCTAGATGCCCCCAGGAGAGCTCTACACCTGTACTAGTGGAGACTTTGGCAAACAAACAACAAAACAAAGCTAAGATCTTGACTTCCAGTTTTGGACAACTACTGAAGGAAGAGGACTGTCTCTGGTAAGAGTAAAACAGAGGCAAGTTTCTGGTTTTTTTCTTATGGAAATAAGAGGATGACCCTGCTATTCATGGGGAATTTGCCTCAGTCAAATCCTTAGACTTATTCTGAGCCAGAGGGTGAGGTAGACAGAGTAGTTGGAAATGACTCTCTGGATTCCTGTGTTCCTAGATTTCCCATTGGTCTTGCTTTTACCCATCCTCATCCTCATTTTTCTAAAGGGCAGAGAAGCAGACCAGCCTGAGCCGCCCCACACGGGTTCTAGTCCTCACACATAGATGCTGCCACAGGGCTATTGTGTTCTCAGGAAGTCAGCTGGTATTTTCCAGGGACACCCTGCACAGACCTGGTGCTTGCTTGACTCTAGAGAAGGAAATCAGCATCGGTGAGGTCATCAGTGCCTCTGTGGGACAAACCATGTGTACACCTTAGTAGGTCATGTCCACAGTCATGTGACAGGAAGACTGCCAACTCGAGGGACCTTAGCAGCGCTACTATTCTACCCGGGTGGGGCGGAGTGGCTGCCTAGTCCTCACAGTTGGCTTACCTGGAGGTGAACTTGGCATGCACGCTATAAATTGTGTGAGCATGTTTCTACCAGCGAGCCTGAGGAAAACTGACAATGCTTGATTGAAGGTTTGCTTTCCAAAACTTCCTTCCCTACTTCCTCTGTTGAAAATAAGTTTGGGGCCAGCAGGTGGCATGGAGGTTAAGGTGGTTGGATCCCACATGGCTGACTGAGCCATCCAAATCCCTCATGGACCCTGCAGCTTGAAAAACACACTAGCGGGACCAGCAGACAGCATAGTGGTTATGTTGCTGGACTCCCACATGGCCAACCATAGTTTGAGTCCTGGACCTGGTCGCTTGAAACTTATGCTGGGCACATGTGCATGCATGCCCAAGATCCCAGGAGGAGAATGTAGGATAAGGGATTACAGCATGGGCATCCCCCCTGGAGGGTGATCTCTCACTTTCTCTCTCACTGTGTCTTTCTCTGTCTCTCTCCAGTGAGCACACATACCCTAAGGCAAAAATCTCTAAAAAAAAAAGAATAAAGAAAAATACAGCAGACATGAGAACATGTGTGCCCAAAATCCAAAGAAAAGAATGGAAGAGAATGTGTGACAGGGTAGCCATTCCACCTGGAGGTGATTTCTTATTCCCCCCACCTCTCTGTGTATGTGTCTCTCTTGAGAAAGTGCACACACACTATAGCAAAACTTAAAAACAAAACAAAACAAAAATAAAAAGTCCAGCGACATAGCCATTACGCTAACTGCTGGTTCCCCAACTTTCTGTCTCTCTTTCTCTCTCTCCCCCGCTCTCCAGTGAGTGCACACATTCTATAGCAAATTGGGAAGAAAATAAAAGCTGATTCAGGGGCTAGGGCCCAGGAAATTGTCAATGAGAAAAGAAACCCAGTTGTGAATACCGTGTTTTGACATGACACTAATCTCCCCGCATGTTGCTGTTATCAGGGTTTAAGTGAAATTGCAGGCAGACCCAGACGTGTTTGTTCTGCAAGACGGCAGAATGCTGTCCTCAGTGAGGTGCTCTCTGACCTGCCTTTATCCTCTGCTTTAGCCAACTGATTAAGGCCCTAAGTGGCTAATCCCTAAGCCTTTTAGTTTCCATTAGCCTTGGCAGGTTCTCCAGAGTGGGATTGCCTCGTGTGTGATGCTAGCTAGAATGTGGTGTTAATAATGGCCCCTGTCTGCTTCCTTCTAGTTCATCCACTCTGGGAACGCGTGGACCTTGTTCCGGGGGGTGATCGGCAATCGCCCATCAACATCCGGTGGAGAGACAGTGTCTATGATCCTGGCTTAAAACCACTCACCATCTCTTATGACCCGACAACCTGCCTCCACATCTGGAATAATGGGTACTCTTTCCTTGTGGAATTTGAAGATTCTGCAGATAAATCAGGTGAGGGCAAGCTCTGGTGGTCTCATCTGTAGGTGAAAAATCAGGGTCATGTCAGCATAGGACACATGGAGCTCTCTCCTGGGTAGTATGGATGTCTTTGTTTACAGCAACATGGAACTCATGGACTTACTCTCTAAATGCATGGAGAAAGTCCCTTCTAGTTTTAAATACACATTTTTTTCTAACTAATATATGTAGTATTTTAAATTAATAAATACATATACCTCCATGTATAGATTCTACAATTGGTATGAAATTAAAACTTTGCCAGAAGTTTATTTTGTGTGTCTTGAATCTATATTCCCCTTCTGCTTGCTGACTTCACAAGAACTTTTATATTGAATAATACTGTTTAATTGGATTTAATTTATTGGATCACAATATATTTGAAATGGGTAAAAAGCAATAGTCACATCTATGCGAGGTTACAGTCTCAACAATTAGTTAAGACTAGTTGTAAAATAGGAAAATGGGACAGGCAGGTGGCATGGTGGTTAAGGACTCCCACATGGCCAACTGCATTATGAGTCCTGGACCTGGCAGCTTGGAAATCATGCCAGGCACGTGTATGTATATGCACCCCAAATCCCAGGAGGAGAATGAAGAAGAAGGGATTGCAGCATGGCCATCTCCCCTTGGGGGTGATGATTTCTTACTTTCCCTCTCTCTGTCTTTCTTCAGCAACTGTACATGCCCTATGGCAAAAACCTAAAAAAAAAAAAAAAAAGTAGTGATAGGAAAGTGGAAACTCATGTTCTGTTAATTTTGTTAAATTAACAATGTTACCTAGCTTAAAAGAAACACAATTTTAAAAGGCTTTTTAAATTCAAGTATTATATTTGCTCTTGAAGCTTTTCTTTTTTTTTTTTCAACTTACCAAGATACAAACTGACATGATATGTATGATTTCAAAATTTGCCTGAAACTTTTGGTGGCTTTAGAAGACAAAATGTAATTAATTCTATGCAGGTTTCTATTTTCCATTTGTTAAAAACAAATTTTAATTGCATCAAGTAGTTCTAATTAGTTTGAACTAATTGCTTTTTGAAATAGTTTATCTAAAGTAGTGGTTTCGTATGGTGGCAGTTTTGAAATTCTCTTCCTCATGCCTTTTGGGGACATTTAACAACATGTAGAGGCATTTTTGGTTGTCACAACTAGAAAGCAGGAAGGAATGCTATCTGAGTCTAGTAGGTACAGGCCAGGGATGCTGCTAAAGAGTCTATGGTGCACATGGGACCAGCAGATAGTGTAATGGTTATGTCGCTGGACTCCCATGTAGTCGACCATGGTTCAAGTCCCGGACCTGGTGGCTTAAAATTCACTCCAGAAACAAGTGCATACATGCCCAACATCCTGAGAGAAGAATAGAGGAGAAGGGACTGTGGGGTAGCTATCCCCCCCAGGGGGTGATTTCTCGCTTTCTGTCTTCCTGTCTCTCTCTCCGGTGAGCACATAGCAAAAATCTCTCTCACCAAAAAAAAAAAAAAAGAATCTATGGTGCACAGAACAACATTAACAAAGAGTTATCCAGACTCTAAAATCAATAGCGCTGAAGTGCAGAGATCCTAACCTATGGGAAATTTGTTTTCAGTATATGAGGAAATGCGTCTGTCAATGTGATAATGAATTAATTAAAAAGTATAAGTGAAAGCATGGATAGTACTCTTCACTCTTATCTTTATCCTGGCTCTAGGATTCTCAACTGTATGTTTGTTTGCTTTTCCTATAGATACTCTGATACTTGGACATGGCCCTCTGGCCTAACTGCAAACAGACTGCTCCTCCAATGGGCTAAATCTCTCTCTGGTTCTCATCCCTTTGACATAATTCTCTGCTCTGATTCATTCAAGTCTGTCCTTAACTTGGTATCTCCATGTCTCCCATTTTCCTCTTTCTCCTCCATGGTATGACACAGCCCCCAAACCCTGCACATCTTACCTCTCTCAGACTAAGAGGAATTTTCTCCTTTTCCTCCCAGGTTCATGGGCACCTTTCTTAGTTTTTCTAAACTCTGGAGTGTACCCTCATCTCATCTGGAAGTCCACAATATTACATTGTATATAAGGATTCTAGAACTCTCCAAAACAAGCTAAATGCCTGTGTTCCAGGTGGCTGTCTACCTGCCTCCCTTAGTGCTCTATAATATTATCCCTGCCAGAGCTAAACTAATGGGTTGACCCAACCTACAGAGCACCAGTTCATATACAAACTGTGAATGAAGAGCAATCCCTTCAAGTCTCATTCCCATCTAGATCCCTGACAGCCTTCTTTCCTTCCCTCTTAAGATCTCAGCTGTTGGTGACCTTTCTAAAGCTCTTGACAGTCTAGGAACTATGAGTTGCTGATAGGTCATTGCTTCATTGAGTTGGAAATCTTAGGAAGTTCTGTAGTTGTTTATTTTAACCAAGTGCATTAAGTCCAAGAAACTTCAAGACAAATATTAGGTTGCTGGAAAAGTCAGGATGCATTTTTGCATCGAAATATATGTCATGACTTTTCAGATGACTCAATAGATGTTTGTTTTATTTTTTGAATGTCTATTTTGTTTTTGAACAATATATTCAAGAATTCTCATTCACCCATTTGCATGGGTAATTTCAGATAGAAAAAAAAAACGACCTACTTTTTCATTATAATAGCTCTTTAGATACCTACAAACTCAACTGACCAAATCACCCCTTGATCCTACCTTCCCTAGGTTAATCAGTCTCACACTGATTTTATAAGATATTCAAGAAAAACTGTAGTGGTTTCTAACTTTTTACTTGCTTGATCAGGAAGAACTAAAACTGAAAGTCTTTTTTCATTATGCTTTAATAATTATTTTCTTTAAGATATTATCTATCTTTAATAATTACCTAATTTTATCTGTCTCTCTTTTTTCCATATTGTAGTGGCTACCTCTTATTTCCTGCTTTTTTTTCACTATTATTTCTCCATGGTTTTGCAAAATAATCAATAGCATCCGAAGAGAAAAACAAGAGTGAGTGAACATTTAAAATATTAAGAAAAAGTTGGGACTAGCAGTTAGCGTAATGGCTATGTTGCTGGACTCCCATGTAGTCCCGGACCTGGTGGCTTAAACTCACGCCGGGCACATGTGCGTGCGTGCCCAAGATCCCGAGAGGAGAATGGAGGAGAAGGGATTGCGGCGTGGCCATCCCCCCGGGGGTGGGGGTGATTTCTCGCTTTCTGTCTCTCTGTCTCTCTCTGTCTGGCTGGCGAGCGCACGTGCCCTATAGCAAAAAAACTCTCCAAAAAAAGAAAGTAAAAAAAAATTAAGAAAAAGTAAAAGATAGCAAAGACATTCTAGAAACAAAGGCAAGAAAGAATTCCAAAAATGTAAGGATCTAATAAATATCTATTTCTATATAATTCCAAACAAAAACCAAATCATATGAAATCCTGTTACAATGTGCTTTATGAAGAAGATCTAGAATAAGGCCAGCTCTGTAGCCTAGTGTTTAAGGGAATCAGATCCCACATGGCTGACCACAGTTCAAATCCCAGCTCAGAAAGCTTGAAAAACACACTGTGTGTGTGTGTGTGTGTGTGTGTGTGTGTGTGTGTGTGTGTGTGCGCGCCC